AATAATAATAATAATAATAATAATAATAATAATAATAATAATAATAATAATAATAATAATGGTGATGATGGTGATGATGATGATGATGAGGAGGAGGAGGAGGAGGTTATAAGACAACCCTGTCAAAGCGAAATCATCACGTTGTGATCTCGAACCCCCCAATTCTGCGTTGGAGTGTGGAATTCACAATGTTAGCTTCATCGGGCCGATTGAGCCCTCAAAAGGCGAGAACACATTCGTGCTGATTTTCATCCTCGTCAGACAAACAACTTGACTTCGTGACAAGACAACGAGCGCTTCACTCGCTCTGCGACATGCATAGTCAATAGACGGTCCCACTGACGGTAACTCTGGCTTCCTGACCCCCAGCTAGAACCATCGACTTGCCTATTTCGATCCATCGCCTCGTAGAGCTTCTCCAGCTGGACTCGCATTTGCTGTATGTTGTTGATTAGGATGATCGCAGTTTTGTGATCGCGCTGGAATTGGCTTGAGTCGGCCTTAACGCGGTCGGCGTATGCCAAGAGGACTTTTTCCACGGTCTGTGGGGCAACGAAGTAAAAGATAAAAGCATCTGAAGAGGAACAGCAGAAAGAAGCTTGTGAAAAAGAGTTGAATAAGTCGGAGAGTAAAAATAAATGGCTGTTGGAACGGTGCGGTAAAGCATGGAGCGCAAAAAGTGTACCAACTTCAAGCGTCAACATGACGGCAGAAGAAGCAGGTTATGAAATATCTGATGTATTCACCCAATTTCGTTTATGGTAGAAGAATAATCTTCCCACAATGATATAAATAGAGCTGACGTTTCCATTCAATTTCACATTACCTTGCTTTCAAAAAAGTTGTTCTGTCCAGATGGGATTGTCGATGAAGCAAGCGTATTTATGCTATAACAACCGACTACTTTATTTTATTTTTCGCATTAAAGTATCAGTTCGAGACTACCGGTAAATCAGTAGTATGAGATTTATTCACCTAATTTCGTTTGAGGTGATGAAGGACTGGTAGAAGAATCATTTTCCCACAATAATATGAATAGAGCTGACGTTTCCATTCAAGTTCACATTACGTTGCTTTCACAAAAGTTGTTCTTATACAGGTGGGATTTTCGATGAAGCAGACGTATTTATGCTATAACAATCGACTACGTTATTTTATTTTCGGCATTTAAGTATTGTTTCGAGACTAGCAGTAAATCAGTAGTATGAGATGTATTCACCCAATTTCGTTTAAGGTGATAAAGGACTGGTATAAGAATAATTTTCCCACAATTATATGAGTAGAGTTAACGTTTCCATTGAATTTCACATAGCCTTGCTTTCCCAAAAGTTGTTCTTACCTTAAGCGGAATTGGGTGAATAAATTTCATACTACTTATTTACTGCTAGCCTCGAAACAATACTTGAATGCGAAATATAATTACACCGAAAGCAATTAGCTTCCTCGAGCGAAATTGCCAATGCATACCTACTTGATCGACCCTCCCACTAGAAAACGTGATTTACAAGAGTCCTGGCTTCACGTGAATGTCGCATCTGCCCCATGACCCACTGGCACTTGTGGCTGTAACGTTGAGGCGAATCCCATGACCCGATTGGGAATTTAATTGGGGATGCCGACAAAACGGGCTATCTTTTGGGCGGCAAGGCTAAGTGAAATTTAATACCATCCCAAAGCCCACTCAACTACTGACTGTGGGAGAAGTCAATTCAACTTAAGCGACCTAGATTTTAATTCAATAATTATTGATAATCTCAAAACCTACTCATATTAAAAATCTACAGAAAGCACAAAGTCTAGCGTTTTTCCGTTTTAAGTGCCCTTGTCTGAAGTGAAGTTCACTCTTCCTGCTTTTTTACTGGATAGCTTGGGTTTCTCACCTAAAAATGGCCAATTTTAACTAATAACCCTAAGTTAATCTACCAAAAGATGATAATAATAATTGTTGTTTAGCTTCATTTTAAAAAAAGCAATAGTTGGGCGATTTAATGAAGAAGACCTGAATAATTTGATTCGGAAAAGAATAGTGTCACATCATTATCAAAAACTGACCATGTCAGATCCTACCAACCAAGAGTTTGTACCAAACTACTCATTCCAGTAATCTACTTCAATTTATTTCCTCGAAAGGGTTTCACTTTGCTCCATATTTTTGTTAAATCTTTCCTACATGTTACCTGCAATAGAAAATTCTTTCAGGGACTAACTTAACTTTTAAAAGAATGACCTAAGAGTCATGCCGATTGAGTCTGAGCTGGCCTATTTATTTGCAGTAGATAAAATACTGACTTGATTTTTATTCTTCTCTTTAACTGTCGAATAAGGAAATAGGATCGGGAAATAGGATGTTATGGCAAAACAGCGGCAAATATAGAATCGCTCTATCGCCTCGAGTGGGATATCCTGACGGAAGTAAAGTAGGTTGGAAAACGACAAGGATTAGGACATGATTTTGGTACCTGTGAGAACCTGTGCATGTAATGCCCGCGAACCAACATGTCGGGACACTGAAGTTTGCGGATCACGTCGAAGCACTGGTTCAATTGGGTGAACACGTCAACCACAGAGTTGGAGTAGAGCACATGCTCGCTCGATCTTGGGAAGCCGTCCTGTTTGTCTCGATCGTAGGCGTTGCGCAGAAACGTGGC